AGATTTGGATCTACCGGTTGGAATGAATAGCCCATTTAATTTTCTCCTTAGTTAGTCACGTAACGCCATTTTCTTTCATAAAAAGGCGAAATACTATGAAGGTAATCATTGTTATAAATTCAAATTTAAATAAAACAAGGGAAATCCTTCGCAAATAGATTAATTTAAGAGAATTATCTTACCATCCCTAAACGAGTAAATACTGCACATTATTTCCTTAATTAAATATATTGAGTTATAATTCATTTAAGAGTGAATGTTGCTAGTATAATGTACAAAAGCATTCTTTCATCTCAACAAGTAAAAAAATAATTGAAGTGGTAAGTGAAAAAATACGCTCAACAGACACCGGACATCAAAACGTGCACCAAGTGGGGGTGCAACTCAATTTGAATTATGGAATGTGAATTGCCCATTTAATTAATGTAATTCAACCCAAATCAAAAGAAATTAATATGAACAGATTCACTTCGTTACATTAACAATGCTCTCGCCGTCATTTTATTTCCTTCTTTTTGTTCGGGGAAATAGGGAAAACACTTGGGTGCACGAAACTCAATTATACGAGCATGTACAATTCCAGTTTTACGTTGACCAATGTATTAAAAGAAGTGGTTAATAGAAAAAGTGTCAATAAACACGAAATGTTATCCAACCAATTTTATACTCAGCAACTTCCCACTAAAGCCAATAGTGGTACCGAGTTTCTGCGCGATAAAAAGGAGATTTTTTCCCTATATTCTATCGTGGATGGGTGTTGGAAAAAACATTGACCCTTTAAAGATATCATATTTGAAGAATTGGGGTGTGCGATAGACTGAGCTCCATGTGATGCACCATGGACAACTTATACTCATAAGGCAAAACATGGCTATAACCCGGCAGTTGACTTCTGACTTCAAACTACCATCACCCCACTGTATGTTATATTCCACAACTTTCACAGTATTCATCTCACCTTTTCTCTACCTTTGTGTCTGTCTGTCTCTTCCACATCTGTGAATCACTCTTTTGTTCCCCCTCTCGAATATTTCTCACTTTGATGTTCCTCCCTCTGTGAAGCCCGTAGTCAGCTAAATGGCTAATGATAGCTATTCAAAACGCCTGCTATTTGAAATAATTATAATAATATTTGAAGAGTTGCTTTCATTCATGTGTTTCTTTAAAATAGAACGTCATTCATACCGGTCATAATAGTAAAGTAGACCATACCAGCGGATCTCTGAGCTTTCATCATGAGCAAGGCAACTATAAGAAATTACTTGTCAACTTCGTCCAGTTTGTATGGACTTGATTTATTGCCTGAACGCTTAATCGAATACTTATGTTGCGCTCGAGCGAGAATACAACGAAGACGCTCAGGGCACTCGCAAGTTCATGCTCCTTGCGCTTAGCTTTTAATTATTAGCAAACCAAGATCGTACTTGAATATTTAATACCTCTGGCGAAGAAACATTCCCCTCCAATATTTGTCAATCAATCAGCCAATCGTTTATCCCATATTCAATTGAATAAAAGAAGTGGCTGTAGTATTATAAGGAGCAGATGAGCCGTTCATTATCTAAATTATGAACTTAACCTGTGTTCTAATAAGTTAAATGAATGACAAGGACCCCATTCCACTTTCCTCTCAAACTCCGTTAACTTCTCTGTCTCTCTTCCTAATCGAATTAGTCGTGTTAATAAAACTTTGGGAACAATAAATAATTAAGTTTCTATGCGCTATTGATTTCTTGTCAAATGTCACCTAAATGTGTCGGCAATTACGTGGCAGCACCGATCCCATCCTCATATTTAATAAGAATGGCACTTAATCCTCCAACAAATCCGGATTTTCAGCCCTGAAAAAGTTTCGATTATGCAAATTTTTTCTTTCAAATTGTTTAATCTAAAATTCAAAGTTTCGTAAGGGAAGGAGGCCACACATATATATATATATAATTAATATAAAATTAATCAATATATACATTGACATTTTCATATTGAGGTGTCTATTTTTTCTTAAAATAGGAAAATCGAAAGCCATTATTCTTTATTTCAAATAAAACAATGAGACATTAATGCATCGAGGGGGGGGGGACGTTTATCAATATTAATAAACAATAATGAAAATTAATGGCAGCATTTACTGCCTCTCCCCCCCCCCCAATATTTACTTTAATCAAGATTAAAATAATCTTTCCACACCAATCTTTTGCTATTAAGGCGAACTATACCTCAGTTCGTTTGATAGAGTTAAAAGCTTTACTCAGCTAAAGCCAGTGGAGGAATTTCTTATTTATAGTGATCGTTATCCCCGGAGCAATTAACTAAGTAAATATATCATTGCATAGGGTAATTGGACGTGCAGAACCCTAAGAAACGAGAAGATGGCTTTCGATTCTTGAGCTCGTAATTGTTACTACAAATGCCGATGAGCAAAAGCTTTCGATGACTTCGATTATGATAAATAAATCGAATTAGGGGGCCCTCAAAAAGGAATGAATTGAGGAAGAGGATCAAGAGGGAGGTGTAAGTTAAAAGGCCTCTAAATAAAGTGCATACTATTATTTGAATTTCAGAAGCGTTTTCAAGTTTAGCTGATTGACTCCATATACCTGGTTATGACTGTGGCCAAACCAATCAGAGCCTAATAATCGATCGATTTATTTCAGTATTTCACTATGCCACTTCAATTTATTAGCACTTTCTTTATAGGTGAGAATAGGGTGACGAGATTACCAACGAATTTTTTAACAAAAAAAGCAATGCAATCACAGATATCTGCTCTTGATGATGAGGAGTTGTCATAATTTAAAATGGCTATAAGAAAACATAAAATAAAGCTATCTGCCCTAATAACGAAGATTCCGACCAGTGTTTGTAGTGATAGGTGCATTGTTAGTGGTCATACTCTTATTCAATCTTACTTATCATGATCATGTTAAAGATTAGTCAGAGCATGAAAGCTGATATCTCGAACCAACTTTAAGGTGTTTAACTCTATTCCGTTTCAAAAATCTCAGCGTATTTATTATTTTTCGATGCTCGCTCTATCTTGACCCATTATATTCTCCGATTAAACTTTCCTCGCATCACATTTCTTTGCCGCAAACAGGTTTTTTACATAATTGCTATTTTTAGAACTAAAATGGAGTGGGAGGGGGTGGCAATAATCTTTTCATTCGTGAAATCAACAATTGGAGTCATAACCAATTAGATTGTCTCGTAAATTTAATTTAGAGTAGCATATGCTTTTTCCAAAATAACATACTATAACAACGCAACTGGGTGGTATTTGTAGTCTTATCGCTATGGCCTTCAAAAGAAGCAAATGAGATTTAAAATGAGATCAGGCTTTCTGATAAAAAGGAGATTTGTGTGCTTACTCACCCATACACTTTTTTCACAATAGCAATTATTCCTTAAATTATTGAAATGCTTTAACTACCGGAAAGCATTGGATGGACTAATCTGGAATGGGGAAAAATGTTTGAAAATCCAGTTTACCCATGTCTCGAACCCGATTCTGGTATTCTTGTTATTTTTTAGCTTTGATTGGACTCCATCACCCCTTTGAAAAAGGGATTAAATTATTTCAGCATTTCAAAAATAAGATTTATATATTATTTAGGGTCCCCTGATTGAGTTTGAACTAAAAGGCATCTGGAGATTAGATTCAAGGATTTTGGAATATCCTAGAAATTCTCAGTTTTGGAAAGGTATCTTCAAGGGGACAATTATTGTGCACCTTTTAGATGAACCTTTTTGAAGTCCTTAGTTCAAATTAATAAAAATCACTCCATACATATTCGTCGGGTCATTAATTATAGGTAAATAACATCAATCACACGTAAATAACCCCACTCCCCTTCAATTGATGACCTAAGTTGTTTATTAACCACGCTTTTATTAAGTTGACGTGGTATTTGGAGGGATGGTATTCAAAACATTTTCGTATTCCACATGTGCTGAGAGGGCGTTTCCCCAAGCCGCTTTTAGTTTTACCATAACTTCACTAAGTTATGCGTTTAAATTGTGATCTTCTTCATGTGCCTGCGTTTTAATTTCGAAATTTTAAATATTGGAACAGACAATTCATTTTTCTACATTCAATTCAGTAGAGTTATTACGCAAGCCAATGATCGTAGTATTTATTGGCCGTGCACAAATGAATAATGAATTCTTTGACAAATAAAATAAACCTACGATATTGAGATGGACTATTAATTTCAGTCTTCTCTAGAAGAAAGAGGCAAAAATAACCGGATATTATTAAAATGGGAAATTTTAATGCTAGGACATCTCGCAATGGCTTGAAAGTCGATGTTTTACGATAAGATTGGTGTTTAACAGGCCATGAAGTCAAGTCAGCTGAACTACGTGTTGGAGCATGACTAAGATTGAAATTGAGATAACCCTTCTATTCATTAAGAGTTAAGAGAAAATCAAAAGGGCTGCTTGAGACCATAGTTAAATACATGATTAAATTCGAAAAAAGTGATAATCCTGATTTTTTAATAAAAAATGGTTTTCTTCCCCAAATTCAGTATTTTTTTCATATAAGCTCTCTTTTTCACATTCTCCATTGAATCTACCATTTATCGTTGAATAATCTCAGTTTCCCCTTTTAATGGGCTTTAAACTTTAAATGTTTACAACTTGGAAGAAGAAAAATTGCTTTTTCTTTTCTCTCCAAGACCCAAGTGATAGTCAACGTAACCGTGGTGTCGTACACATGCGTACCCATTCACCAATCATTCCACTGCCAATCCACCCCTCGGATTGGTCAGCAGTGATAATCGTGAGCTCGAGGGAGTGCTGTGATTGGCTAGCGCAATTAAGTGTGCACGAGTGTCAGTGAGAATGGCTACCAGCCAAATTCCCCATGACACGATAATTCGACTGTGCGCAAAATTGAGTATTGATTGCATCTCCTGTCCGGAACTCACATTGCATTTGACTCCACTTTTTTCTCTTACTTCTTTCGATTCTACCTTTCTTACTAATATTTATCGCAAATGGGAGACATTGATGAGCCTGTAGAAGATTACGAAACGATGCCTCCCATGAACGAGGAAATGCCATTTGATTTAGCTAACGGCGATCATTTCGATGGAAAGGATGAACTTAACCCCCTTGAACAGGGAGATGAATCAGGTAAAAATTCCGGAATCTTCGATTCTAAAGTTGCTGATTCTGTAGGTATCCCTGAACTTTCCGAAACCCCAAACTCGCATAATAGTTCACAAGACATGGTTGTGAAGGATATTGCTGAAATGGATCAATCACATGACGAATGCGTGAGTCCTGAAGTAGATGCGAATGTTGTTGCTGATAGGAATTCTGAATCAGAAGAAGGTCTTTCCCATGAAAAGATGGATGAAATCAACGAGCATATCGAATCGTCTGAAAATGTGTTTGTCGTTTCTGATTCCGAAATTACGGGAGAAACAGTAGATGAAGATAAATCTTCCGAATCGGAAGATATCCACAAGCAGCCTGATCAAACCGTGCTCGAGCCTTCAGAAAATTATATCGAAAATCACGGAAACGATGATGCTGAACCCGAGGAATTAGCTGTAAATGACCTTCATGAGGGTTCTGAAGATCATGCAGACCATGAAGGGGAACATTCAGATTCAGATAAGCAAGTAAAACAAAGTTCTTCAGAAATGGAGATGATGTGCAGTGAATCACAGCATTCCGAACATCAAGAGACAGAAAATAATACCGAAAATGAGGGAAATGCTGAAGCTCATGAAAATGAAGGTCCCGAAGCTGAGGATCTCGTTGAAACTGCCATATCTGAGGCCAAAAAGGCTCAGATGGAGCACGATTCCGAGATTCCAGAGCATGATTCAAATGAACCATCGAGTCAATTGTCTTCTGAATTGGAGTTTACACCAGCAGATAACAAAGAACCTGAATCGGTTCCGTCAGATGTGGAACAACAGAAATTCACCGACGTAGGACCTACTGCAGATGGAAACCCTGAATTTGATACCCAGGCTGTGGAGTCAACTGTGGAGGAGAATTTGACTGAGCAAGTTGATCAGGAGCCACAACATGGTGACACGCCTCTACTATCTGACGAATCACTTAAGTACTCTGATAGTGGATCCCTTGATACCGTATCGATTAATCCGAATGAAGAATCATCAGATCTAAACGGGGAAAGTGCAGAAACAAAAGAAGTTCCAGAAATTACTGTGGAAGAATCGGATTCACAAAACAGAGGTGAACCTGAGGAGGATAATCCGGTTGAAAATTCACTGGTAGAATTCAATGAGTCGAATGACGTGCATGTGGGAACTGAGAGGTTATTAAATCTTGAAGAGAGCGTCAAACCACTGGACACTTCGAATGAAAATTTAGAAAGTTCTCTAGAAACACCAAATGTGAGCATGGAAGAAGAGCGGACACTATCTAAAGTTTACTCTCAGGCCTGTGAAACATGTGAGCCCGTCCTTCCTGCTTCGTGTGAAGAATATGAGGCAGAAAAAGTGAGTATGAACGAAGCTAAAACCACTGAGCACGGAACAGAACTTCAGAATATTGAGGTTTCTTCGGAACCTGTGGAGATTATAATGCCTGATGGTGATGCTGAAAATTCTGTTCCGGGTAACACTACTTCCAAGCCGGAAATTGAGCTAGAAACCATAGAAGCTGTGCCTATTGAAGTACCTGAACAAGAAATCGTATTGGAATCTGAATCAATCGAATTATCAAAACCAATTCTAGAAGAGGAAGTCGAACAAGAGCAAGTCTTTGAGGTGATTGAAGCTCAACCAGAAGTGATTAATGAACAAGCTGTAGAGTTAGAAGTTGCCGGACCTTCATCTATGGAAATTATTAAACTGGTCCCAGAAACTGAAAATGAGAAAAGTGAGATTGCAGAAGTGGTAGAGCCCTCAATCGTGGAAAATGACGAATCAGAACCGAATCGCATTGATGAACCACAGATAACATCAAAGGATGAGTCACTCAACGAAGAAGCACCTTTGATTGAAGAGGGCAAGCAGAATGCATTTTCCATGGATAAGAACCTTGAACTAAACGGAAAAGAACCTAATATTTCTGATGACGAATTAGACTTTGATACTCGATATGCTCTGTTTGTTGGCAAAGTCCTGCCTGGCCACGAGGTCTACTATCTTCCTGGGAATAAAAAGAAGGTCACTTTTCCGAAGGGAGGAACTCTAGACAATCGTCATACCAGTTCACCCCTCTGGGATGCCTCGTTAAATGGAATGCGAGCAAAGTCAGCAACTCTGGAAGCTCCAAGGCATACACGACGCAAACTTCAACCTAAACCCACTGTGAATGATGACCATCTCTTTCCAGATTCTGTTACGCCTTCTAAAGTAGAGAAGGCTCTAAGCGAAGACGATACTAGTGCCTCAAATGATGGAGAAGGAGGTCGATACGATGTCCCCTTTATGGATGATGATGCTTTTGTTCCAAAGAAGTATCGAAGTGTCGCAATGGAGGATGATAATTCTAGTAGTGAGTCGGATTATTCCAATGAAAGGAGGGACTTAATTGAACCACAGCATATAGCCAAAATGGATGAGACATCTCCCCATGCTGGTATGTAGTCAAGTTAATTAATTTTCTTTCTGCCTTCATTGTAAGTAATAAGGCGACTTTTAAGAGATTTTTTTGCATTCTACTACATAGACTTAGACAAATTCAAAATTATTGATTTGAAGTTAAGGTCAAAACTCTTTCCATTATCTATGCTAACCTTTAATTCGCCATTAGATGGCTCATTTCATATATTGTGCCAATGGTTACTTTGTGTCGGAGAAGTTATTTCAATGGGTAAAAATTCGACGGGAATCAATTATGGATTTACTAAATCTTATTGTCATTTTGCTTTTCAGAAAATGCGCAAAATAATTTCCGAGCCAATTAGAGAATTTAAAAAAACAAACAAAACTATGCTGTGTTTCTTCAAGAGAATCCGAAAAATTCATTTTATCATAAATTAGTTAATCTTACTATTACCGTAATTAATTTAAATGCTATTGCTATGAGTTTAAATCAATTATCTCTTCAGATTACAAGTTTAAAGCCTTTAAAAATTTGCAATGGAAAATCTCTTTGTATATATATATATTTTAAAATTCGTTTAATCTGGTTTACTTTTATATTGAAAATCTTGCCTTTTGAAATTTATTAAATTGGAAATTTTGAATTAATTGAATCGATTACTATGCAATTCGTAAATATATTAAATGAATAAATAGTATGGTGATTATTTCATACTGGAGCACAATAAAAAACATAAATAATTTACATTAAAGGAGTAGTAATTTCTCTGAAAGGAGTTTTATTTAATGAATTTGTTTGAGTTAAGGCTGTTATATCGATCCCAAATTGGAAACAGCAAATGAGAAAAACAGCTAATTATGAGTCACTTTTAACAATTAAATTACCCAACAATTTCGAAGTCATCTATCTCTTTAATTCAGTAGGTAAATTTTTTTCCAGAGCTAAACATACTCTCGAAGTTGGGAATTTTTTCAGCCCCCAGTTTGCAAGAATGACTCACAAGAAGAACCACACCTTGGGTTTTATTGCGCTACACATCAGATTAATGGGTGCAATTATTAAAGCAACCTTCCGATTTCAAAGCTCCCCGTACTTAAAAAAACAGCTAATATTTTTAAAAACTCAAAGTTAGATCTTTGTTTTGTTTCAGGTCGAACAGCAATAGATGGCAAACGAAATCTTAACCATAGAGGAGGATCTCGATGGTCATTCGGTTTGAACATTTGTGGATGCCTTCGAAAGAGGCGATAAGGTGTGGAATAAGACAGATTCATACTACCTTGGTTCCCATTCGATTGCTTCTCTTCCCTGATGTAGCCTAATTGTGCTTACCTACGTTTTTTTAATAACGTGTCTCCATTCAATCACTGATGCGGAAATAAGCGCTTTTCTTTTGTTTTTAGCATTAAAATTATGATTGCAGATTCGATATCCCCTTCCTCTACGAAGGGGGTTTGTCCTGATTCTCCCAATCCCATTGCTTGTGTCTTCCCTCACTTCTTTGTTTTCATAACATTTACACAAATATGTACAAGCACGCTTATTTTGGTTCGAACTTCGTGAATTTCCATTGTTCTTTATTTTTACTTTCGAGACACCGGCAAGCGCCCTTTTAGCCCTTGCAGCTATTCTGTTGATGAATAATACCAAACCCAAAGCTCTAATAGGGATGTTGATTAATAACATTTGTGAACAATAAATCCAATTACGTTTATGCTTTCTGACATACACCCATTGTATTGTCTTATGTCGGGGGGCTGTAGTAAATTGTCTGACACTCTGCAGTATTGTAGCTATTTGGGAACAAGGTGGAATTGGGACAGTATGTCCAATCTATTTTGTGGACATTTAATAGTTAAATAGGTCAAATATATAATATTTCATTTTTTCCCATAGAAGGGAGAGTGGGTGGCCATTTCCCCTTAATATATTTATTGCAGATTATTCGGAAAATATAACGCAAGACTTAATTGATTATCTTTTGAGTTGTAGTGATCGATACACCTGTTTCCTCACACCTCACCTCCATTTTATTAGCTTAGGGGTGGGGTGGAGGTGGGGTGGGGTGGGGTTGGGAGAATGCCTAAAAGTAATCCATACTCTATACATCAATCAAAACTAAATTAGGATGTCCTTGCATATCAATAACGCCAATTATAAACGTCAACTTTTTCTTTTTACCTGATGATATGTTTGTCGTGAAAGAAATCCCAATTCTCATACACTTTTTATAATTTCTAAAATTTTATTTGTTTATATTTTCGTGTTTATTGGATATGATTGGCAGATGCGTGCTCTGTTTAATTAAACGGGTGCCATGACATCTTGTCACACATTGTTTTCCTCCTCTATCTCTCAACCGTATGTTTATGCGAAAATTAAGTTATGACAGGAACATCTTGCACAAAATCTAACTATTGCGTTGTTCTCCAAATTAGACTTATAATTTTTCTTCTTTACACAAGCATTCTTTGCTTGGACTCTATTCCTTGGAATTAGGGCACATTTAAGAGAAATGACCATAACAAGGTATTAGAGGAAGGTAAATACTGGACAAAGACCACCGAGCAGTTCGCAAAAAGCTACCATTTTGAACTGAACACAGGAAATAGCCCACAAATTGATAAGTACCGGAAAGGGTGAAATAGGAGCTTACAGAGCCAATTCAGCAAACGCTCTATCGTCATATTTGTAATTAATAGTCTACATCACTTTGTAGTCGCGTTCTGCACGATAGACTTACCTCCACGTGGTGCATCCTGGACAGTGTATACTCATACCGGCAAATAAGTCCATAAGCCGGCAGTTGACTTCTGACTTTAAACTACCATGACCCGACTGCATGCCATATTCGATCCCTTTCACAGTACTCATCTAGCCTTTTCTCTGCCTTTGTGTCAGTCAGTCTGTCTCTTTAACATCTGTGAATCATTATTCTATTCCCCTTCCCATTCGAGTTTTTGTGGCTTTGTTCCTTCCCTCTATGAAGCCACGAAATCATCTAATGGATTAATGATAACTGTCATAAGGCCTGCCATTTGGTATAAATAAATAACTTTTTAGTAGCAAATTTTCCAAAATTCGGATGACTTCTAGACTTCGACGCAAGTTCAAGCCGGCTATGGTCTGGGTTTAATTTGTTAAAACCACTTAATTCATTGGCATTTCCTTGGTCTATCAGAAGCAATTATCAAACTTAACGTTTATATGCCATTAAAATTTCGATGCCATCTTAAATTGGTCTTTTTGAATGCCAATTAAAGTCATAGTGTTTTATAAATGGAGTAGGGAGCTGTTTTTTTTAAGTAAACAACTGTGAGTTTCAAAATTCTATGATCATCCTTCCAATGTGCCATTCTGTATTTCGTCATTTTATTCCCCTCTCAGAAGAGACGGCTCAGTATCCCTTGAATACACATTGACTTTTCATTTGTTTTCAATCTTGCTAAAGTTTGAATAGGTTAGTGAGAGAGAGAGAGAGAGAAAAGGTTCCCCTTTCGTTTTGATGGACATTATACGAGAGTTGTAAACAAAAGTAAACGTTTACACTAAGGCAAAGACTTTTGTCGGCATATGATTAGCGCTTCCTACTGCTAACTTGGATGTAAACGACATTAAGAATTAAAATGCATAAGTGTAGAGAGTGAGAGTAATTTACGTTGACTACCGAGAGTAACATGAAAGGGACTGGGCTTTCAGAATTGAGACCGACCAACAAGTCCAAAGGTAAGGAGAAAATAAACCGGGGAAGGCATTAGCCGAATAAATGAGCTATTGGTTAGTTAATCCACTAGATCACTAATAAGCCTAAAGTGGAAAAGGTTCAAAGTACAATCACGGGTATGATTAATTTTGTTCATACGAAGGCATGCTCAGAATACCTAGGTCCTCTCACGAATTGAACCACACCCCATCCCACCCCTTTTTATTTTTTAAAATCAATTTTAAGTTCGTTTAAATTATTGACTCCCTACGATATAGTCAGTGATGACAGATTGCTAAATTTATGAAAACTGCTCTTATTCACTTTCACCCCAATTGAGTAATATATTCAGTTTCTCTCTAACAGTCCTTGCTTTATACAAACAAGACTCATAGTTTAGTGGTCATGGTTTTAGGCTGGCTGGAGCCTATTCATACTGCTAAGCTTAAATAAAGCACGAATACAAGCAAGTGTCTTCATAAGGTCAAACAGAAGAGCAGGGTATTGAGCAAAGGCACCAAAAGGACATGTGGGTGAGGACAAAGTGTGCGCGCAAAGTATATGAATGGTTGGGGCGGCCGGAGGGAGGGGGGTGATTGAGCATAACACGCTTTCGAGCAGGAATAATGCAATAGTGTGTTTTGAACCCAAGTGGAATGCTCCAAAGGAATTCCAAAAAGAAATAATTTGATGGATGCCATTCACTCTACCGAATAATGTATTCATGCCAGCAAGAATAATGGCTGACTGAACACCTTCAAAGTTTGACCGAGCTCTTCCTTAATTATATATATATAGTTAGAAGCATCATCAAAAAATAAGTAGAACTATCCATTTTAGAGTAAAATTGAATAAAATAACTTTCAGCACTACCCTTAATCAGCAGCTCATTATGAGAATTACCTCTGAAACCGGAAAAGAGCAATTCTACGATTCCCAGCGGCAACAGGAAATTAAATGATTTTTAATCCCTCTTCACCTCCGGAAACAATACGTCAGGAGATATTTTGGGAAAACTTGTGTGAAACAACCAGTTTTCGGAGTTTTGAAAATTGATTCCCTTTGAGTCGAAATAGCCCCAACAATCTTCCCCTCCCCCTCCCCCTCCCCCTCATTTGAATTGTGTTCTATAACGAGGGGGAAGTATTGAACATTGGTTAACTTAAATGAAGTTTAAGATGTTATTATATGGGCATATTTGACGTGAGCACCATGGCGCCTTTCCTTGTGGGAAGGTTGGATTCATTGCCCCCCCCCCCACCACCTTTGAATGGCTGTTCCATTCACTGTGCATTCATCGACAGGCATCGAGATCGTAAACTCTGCCTACGATAGAGAAATATTGACCTAATATTGAAAGCTTTAAATTGCAAAATAGTGCAATCTGAATTTTAATTTTGTAAATTAACCAGCGAAAGTAGGAGGAAATACAACGTCAAAATGTCATTAAGATCATACCTTGTCTATTTTAACTAATTTATTCATTTCAACTAGCCAGTTTCTATAGCCTTGTATAATTTGGAACTTAGCAATTGGCAGTATTCATGATGAGTGCATTTATAATGAGGAGCGCAAATTCGTCTGGGCGTCTTCTCCACGTGATCGTAAAAGTTACGATGCTGGTGGTAACAGGCTACCACGGTATGTTGGTGCAACCTCGATGGGGTACGACAGGAGGGAGATCTCATCCAAATGCGGAACAGAAAACGGAGACGAAAAGATAACTTTTTGGCCTTGATGAAATATCCCATAAAGTAAGTAAATGAAGAGGATACACAGCGACTTTATTCTTTACTAACTTTATGTGTTATCGTGGTTTGTCTATCTAATTTTATCGCAGTTTCAAATGGTAGGACTCATTTCTATGAAAGTAAGTAATTTATCTATTTCCCAGTCATATTTAACCTGCTTACTGAATTTTGCTCTCCCATTGTTTAGGCCGTAATGCTATTTCATTCTGGTCCCCTGGTTAAGAATTGGTAGGGTTAGGAATGAACTTCCCGCATCCTATTATCTCTATCAAACATATTTCTCTAAACTAGATCAAATATTTCCGTTGTTTTGCCATTATCAATTTGCAAAGAGAGACATTTCGCGCTGTCACACAATTTGTATTAAGAATTAATTGTCATTCACTTCAACATGGAAAATTTTACGCCAATGTTTATGTTAAAAAGCATTTTCAAGTTTATATAAACAGTTCTTTTTAAAAGGTTTAATGAAACTAACCAATTATGCCAATGAGGAAACCCCTAGATAAATATTTCATGCCCCCATTAAAGCAGTATCTCCTTTTTCAAAAACCGAGCCATTTTATGAACTCCAACCCCCCCCCCCCCCCACCGCCACCCCCACCTTGCCCTGGATGAGAATGCGTCGGTCTAATTATTTTGGGCTGATTATGCTTTTTTTAAAATTTCAGTAAGAATAGGAGGCTTCCTCGACTCTTTTTAAGCCTCTAAAAGAAAATTCACTGTCCATCAGCTTGGTGCTATCATTTAAAGGAATAATTCAAGCAGAACAACATGATGATTTACATCCTGTCACC